GCAACTCGACCGATTCCTCGAAAAAGCAACTCAAACAATCAGGCTGCGAGCAGCCCTTTTGCAGCGTCGATGGACGAAGTTCTCGTCTTCTCCAGCCCGTAGCTCGACGCAGGCGCAGAGTTGCGCAACGATCCCCGCGGCTGCGAGGACCGGAACCCTGTCGCGGACACATTCCCCGCGGGATGTCACTCCCGAGGATTGCGTCGCATCGCGCGCGGGGCGTCCCAAGGGGTCGGAAGAGGGTTTTCGGCGTCCCCCGCACCCTTTTCGACCGTGTTCGAGCGCACGGAGCATCGGGAATCGTTCGTCTATGTACCGCGGGCGTCCCATTTGATCCGCTCGGCCATCGACGTCGAAAACATCGACCGCCAACTCGCGCATAGAAACGTGGCGCGGCAGCCCGAGCGGCCCCCACGTCCAGAAACGCGGTCTGGGCCGACACCACCGCCCGAGTCCCGTCCCCAGTATGTGTCCGGTGGGATCGAGTACATCTCCAGCGGTGGAGGGGAAGAACCCGTCCCACGCAATCACCTACTGCAGAGAGACACCTTCACCACTGCGGACTCGGCCACGCTCGGAGCGCGTCCATCGCGTGTAATTGCTTCAATAATCGCAACGATGCAGCTCCTGAGGTGTTGCTTTTGATAGTTTTTAGCCCGGCGGGCAGAAATCCAATTCGATTGAAAACCGTCCCCACCTACTCCCGCCGACTCGCCGTCCAAGGTGAGCGACGCGTCGCGCAAAGTTTGCCGACCGGCCGTGTGCAGGGCGTCGGGTATTCCTAAGTCGTCGTCGCCCTTGAGCAGAGAAGTCGTCGAGTGTGGTGATTTCGTTCGCCATCGGTCTCGAAAGATTCGAGATAAAATCGAGGGCGCGAAGTCGCCGTCGTCGAGCCCGCCGGTCGCGAAAGTGCATTGGCGTGTCCGCGGACGCCGCGGGCACGCGCCATCGCCGCCGGGAACGGCGCCGGTCGGCTCCGGATTACGCGCGCGCGCGCGAGACGACGCGTCGGTTTCTCGAGACGACCCGCCCCGCCCGCCGCAGGCAGCAGCATGCAGATCTTGAAATTCCTGGTATTCGCCGCAAGCTCCGTCGAAGGAGCCCGTCGCCTCCAGGCCGGGTCGTGCTGCGCTTTCTCGCCGACGAACGACGCGTGCAACGACTGTGAGACTCCCGCCGAGGCAGCGGAATGCCAGGTGTCGCCAGATGACTGCAAGGCTTGCGCGACGGACAACTTCGTCGGCGACGGGTGGTGCGCGGCGGAGTCCGCGACGCCCCTGCCCGAGCCCGCGCCCGCGCCCGCGACGCCCGTGCCCGAGCCGGCGCCGGCGCCCGAGCCCGAGCCCGCGCCCGCGCCCGCGCCCGAGACGGAGACAACATCCAAGCCGACGCCCGAGCCGACGCCCGAGCCGACGCCCAAGCCGTCGCCCAAGCCGACGCCCAAGCCGTCGCCCGAGCCGTCGCCCGAGCCAAGCGGGGGGAGCAAGAAGAAGAAGAGCAACGACGACGCGTCGCTCTCCATCATCATCCCCGTCGTCGTCGCGGCCGCCCTGCTCCTCGCCCTCGTCGTCTTCTTCATCCGCCGCCGCGCCGCCGCCGCCGAAACGTCGATGCCGGATGCCAACGTCGCGCTGGCGTGAAGATCCGCTCCATGTCTGATGCATAAACGTGAACACGAGTGGGGGTTTAGTACGAATTGGTGTACGAATTGGCGGCGCCAGCCTAGGGCACCTCGAGGCCGACCTCGCGGAATTCCGTCGTCGGCGTCGCGGCGAGGCGGGCGACGGCGCCCTTCTTGTCGTCGGCGTCGTGGCGCAGGGAGTCGGAGGCCAGCAGCTCGTCGGCGGGCGTCGCCGCGTCGAACGAGCCCGAGGCGCGGCGGCCGTCCGAGTCGCCGAGGGACGCGTCGCGGACGTCGCTGTCGGCCGTGGACACGGAGGCGCGCCAGAGGGGGAGGCGCGGCCGGGCGAAGAACCCCCGCGACGACGACTTCTCCTCGAGGAGGCCCGCGTCGCGGCGCGTGTCCGCGCCCGGCGTCACGAAGGGCGCGCGCGGCGCGGGCGCGAGGCCGAGGTCCGCGTCGATCTTGGCCATGATCGCGCGGGGCAGGTCGCCGAAGAGCACGCGCCGCACGACGGTCTTCGAGGGCGTGACGTAGTCGAAGGAGTGGGGGAAGTAGTAGTCGGCGCCGCCGCCCTCGACGATGGCGCCGTAGATGTGCTTCGCGCCGTCGCCGCGGGCCCGGTAGACCTCGGAGAAGAGGCCCATGAGCGGGAGGACGAGCTCCTCGCGGTCGCAGGGCTGGCCCGACGCGTGGCCGTGGCGGCAGCAGGTCAGCTTGCCGTGCATGACGTCGAGCGCGCTCTTGAAGAAGTCCGCGCCGGCCTCAACCGGCGCGCAGGGCGCGCACTTGAGGTCGCCGCCCCGGGGCTTCGGGAACATGGGGCGGACGCCGTCGGCCGTGGCGAAGTACATGACGTCGCCGCCGCGGCGCGAGAAGTGCGCGAAGATCTCCGCGCGGCACCAGGCCCGCGACGCGTACGTCGCCGCGTCGCAGGCCTCGAGCGTGTCGCGGTTCAGGGCCTTGGGCGCGGCGGCGAGGAAGACGTCGACGGCCGACGCGAGGGACGGCAGCGACAGGACGCTCAGGCGCTGGACGGGCTTGCAGGTCTGGGGGATGGACCCGTAGTCCAACCAGACGAAGATGTCGCGCAGCGGGCGGCGCGCCTTGGCCGCGAGGTCGGCGAGCGAGGCGCAGATGGCCGCGTACTGGACGCCGTCGGGGTCCGGGTGGTCCCGGCCGAGCCACTGGTGGCTGACGAAGACCGTGAAGTTGCGCCGGAAGAAGTCGTCGCGGTGGCGCCGCCGCAAATCCTCGTGGGACGCGAGCGCCCCGAGGGCCACGAAGTCCACGCGCGGCAGTCGACGAAGGTCGCCTGGAAGTCGCGCACGCGCCGCGTCGCCTCGGCGCGCTGCGCCGCGACCTCGCGCGCGCGCGTCGCCTCGAGCCGCGCGGCCTTGGCGTAGGTCCGGCGGACGCCGCGGCCGGCGACGCAGCACGCCGTCAAAGCGCAGAGCCCGAGGACCGCGACGAGGGCGAGGCGGAGGCGCCGCGCGGCGCGCGCGGACGACTTGGACGCGGACGACGCGACGGGCGCGAAGGGCCCTAAACCGATGGCGACGCGGTGGTCGTTCGCGGCGTCGAGCGCGCCGCCGACGCCGTAGTGGCGGTCGCGCGCCGACGCGTAGCCGTCGACGACGGCGCCCACGAAGCCGTCGAGGTCGAGGGAGCCGCGGCCGTTTCGCTTCGCGGCGCGCCAGACCGTCGCGTTCCGCGCGCCCCATCCGTAGCCGCAGTCCGGGTTGTTCGCGCGGCCGCCGGCGAACGCGGCGCACTTGCACTCGACGTGGTCCACGCAGGGCGCGACGTCGAGGAAGAACTGCCAGATCGCCTTCTCGAGCGCGTGCTCGAAGTCCTCGCGGCCCGCGAGCGACAGCGGCAGCGCGGCGTTCGGCGACGACCCCGCCCATAAAAAGACGTCGCGCATGGCCGCGTACTCGCGCGCGCCGAAGGCGTCGTCGTACACTTCCTCGTGGGACGCGTCGAGCTGGGACCGCCGGAAGGGGTCGAGGTAGGTCGGGCCGAGCCGCTGCGCGACGACGTCCAGCGCGTCGACGTTCGCGAAGACCACAAAGTCCCAGACGAGCGCCTTGCGCGGCTCCGTGGCCTTGGCGTTGATGCTGATCGACGAGTGCTGGTAGGCCGAGTAGTAGTAGGGCACGCGGTTGACCCAGACGCCGTCGCGCTCGTCGCGCGCGGCGTCGAGGAAGGGGCAGTGGACCTCCGCGGCCGCGTTGACGCCCGCGCCCGTCTCCGCCGTGCACCGCCGCATCTCGCCCGACGCGCGGTCGAGCACCGTCGCGGACCCGGGCGGGAAGACGCGGCGCGGCGCGCGGTAGGCGCCCGTGCCCGGCCACGTGGGCTGCCAGACGTAGGTCCCGTTGCCGTCCCGGCGTCCGACCTCGCGCAGCGTCGTCACGTAGGCCACGGACCCAGTGAGCCAGAGGTAGGCGCCGCAGCGGCCGTCGAGCCACGCGTCCTCGTGGAGGTAGGCCCAGCCGCCGTCCTCGGAGTCCAGCGAAACCATCCAGAGCCGCCGCGCCAGCGCCGCGGCCTCGCGGAAGCCCGCGTTGTCCGCCAAGGGCTCGAGGTCGCGCGACTCGGGGTCGAAGAACAGGCCCTGCGACGTGCCCGTGTACGCGAGCTTCGCCGCGGCGATCTGCATGAGGAGCGCCTGGGGACCCCCGGGCCCCGCGCCGTTGAGCGTGCAGATGCCCACGTCCGCCTCGCCGTCGCCGTTCAAATCGCGGCCGTCGAAGTGCTCCGCGAAATCCGCGAGCTCTTCGAACGTCGCGGGCTCCTTCCGGCCCGTCTCGTTCGCGTAGGCGTCGACGAGGTCGTCCCGCAGCAGCAGGTTCATGAAATCGAGATCGAAAGGCACGGCGGCCTGCGCGTCGCCGACGGCGTTCATCTCCCGCGCGCGCGGCAAAATGTCGCTCCACCGGAGGTCGGGAGTGGCGCGGATCCGCGGCACGAGGTCCTCGACGTAGGGCGCGAGCAGGGGCACGTCCATGGCCTGGGTCATGTAGGCGTCGAAGACGCTCGCGCCCCGCGCGTCGTCCAGCGCGCCCTGGCCGACCTCGAAGAGGCCGCGGAAACCGCCGCAGTAGTCGACGCCCTCGCACTGGACGACGTAGTCCGCGAGCTCCACGGCGCCGCCCGTGCAGTTGAAGAACTGGGCCGTGCGCGCCTTGATCGCCGTCGCGTGCGGCGGCGACGGCACCGTCAGCATCGTCGCCGTCTCGCCGGCGTGCGCGCAGCAGAGTGTCTCGAGCGTCGACGCGCAGTACTTGGGGCACTCGACGGCCCGGTACTCCGCGTCGCACATCGCCGCCAACGCGCCGCGGACCAGGCCGAGGACCAGCAGGCGGGAGACCATCGCGAGGGGCGTCGACATCACGGCGACGCTTGCGGGGCTGCTTTGCTTCTGATCCATTCTAGGAAATGCGCGACATCGGCCGTGGTGCACCACGAACTGTAACTGCAAGATTGCACATTAAATGATCTTCTTCACTGACAAGCTGGCATGGATTGCGGCGACGAGGCAGCCCGCGCGGTGAAGACCCTCTGACAGAGGGGCGCTCCAGCCGCCGCAGCGAAGCGACCAACACAGTGCCTCGGAATCCTATGGTGAGGCACCCGCCCGTGCTGATCTGATGCGTACGCCGGTGATCCGCGCGAAGAGCTCGGGGAAGCTCGCCGCGCCGCGGGAAGGCCCGGAGCTGCGCGAGCAGGAGGGCAAGAGCGTGGCCATCGAGCGCAGCCGCCTGCCGTATAACCGCGACCCGAGCCGAGCGCGCAACGCGCGGCCGAAGGTGACGCGCGAGGACGTGCGGCGACGCGAGGCCCTGACGGGCGAGCTCTGGGTGATCATCGAGGACAAGGCCTACGACCTCACCGAGTTCCAGCACCGCCACCCCGGCGGCTACCTCTGCCTGCGGGGCGTCGCGGGCCGCAACGCGACCGAGGCCTTCGACAACTTCCATCCGGCCAAGGTCTGGGAGACCCTGCTGCCGGCGTACCACGTCGCCGACGTGACCGACGTCGCCGTGTCCGAGTACGTGGCCGGGCACCGCGAGATCCGGCAGCAGCTGCTGGAGCGCGGGCTCTTCGAGACGCGGCCCTCGTACTACGCGAAGGTCGCGGCGTGGCTCGCCGCGTTGCTCGCCGCGGCCGTCGGCCTCACGGTCGCGGGGGGCGGCGCCGGCCCGCGCCTGCTCGGCGCGGCGGTCCTCGGCTTCTTCTGGCAGCAGCTCGCGTTCCTGGGCCACGACATCGGGCACAACTCCATCACGCACAAGCGCGGCGTCGACTCGCTGCTCGGCGCGGCGCACGTCGCGCTCTTCGGCGTGTCCATGGCCTGGTGGAAGCGCAGCCACAACACGCACCACGTCGTCTGCAACTCCGTGGAGAACGACCCGGACATCCAGCACCTCCCCGTGCTGGCCGTGTCGCCCGCCATCTTCGAGGGGTTCGCGTCGACGTACCACGCGAAGGCCTTCGCGCCGCTGGTCCTCGACCCGATCGCGCACTTCATCGTGAGCTACCAGCACCTCCTCTACTACGTCTTCATGTTCTTCGGCCGCTACAACCTCTACGTCCAGTCCTTCGCGCTGCTCCTCGACTTCAAGGAGCGCGTCGAGCTGCGGTTCGTCGAGCTCGGCGCCGTCGCCGCCTACTGGGTCTGGTTCTGCGCCCTCGCCTCCTCCACGGAGTCGACGCGCGAGCTGCTCGCCTACGTCATCATCAGCCACGGCGTCTCCGGCATCCTGCACGTCCAGATCACGCTGTCGCACTTCTGCATGGAGACCTTCACGAAGGACCAGCCCGTCTACACCGCCGACGAGAACGACTGGTTCCGGCTCCAGCTCGCGACGACGATGGACGTCGACTGCCCGGAGTGGCTCGACTGGTTCCACGGCGGGCTCCAGTTCCAGATCGAGCACCACCTCTTCCCGCGCGTGCCCCGCCACAACCTCCGCGAGGTCCGGAAGCTCGTCAAGGCCTTCTGCAAGAAGGAGGGCCTCCACTACCACGAGGTGAGCTTCCTCCAGGGCAACGCGGAGGTCATCGCCGGCCTCTACGAGACGGCGCTCGCGGCGCGGCGGCTGCCGCGGGACGGGAAGTCCATCGGGCGCCTCCGGGAGTCGTGGACGTGGGAGATGCTCAACGCGCAGGGCTAGTCTAATTTAATAATTTAATCTAACCTGACGCTGATCAATAGGTATGCATGCTGCGCTGTACATGTAGGCGTGCTCCGTGGTGCCGCGTCAAGTTGATCCTCAACGCCGGCCAACTCGTCGCGATCGGGGCAGCATGGCGTGCGCCGCTCTCGGTGATCGCCTGCATCGCCGCGACCGCATGCGGGCGACTTGAAGCGCCGACGGCATCGTTCTCGTGCGCACGCAGCGCGATCCAGTGGCAACTTCTGACAGAGGGCTAGCGACGACCGAGAATCGCAGCCATGGGGGGCTCCGCCTCTCGTCTACCCGACGACGCGCTCGGACTCTGCGCGTCGTGGTCCGACAAGGGCAGCTTCTTGAGCCTGCGCGAGGTGTCGGCGGCGGGGAAGAGTGCGGCGCGGCGTGCGGTCGCGTTACGCACGTGCCGGAAGATGCTCAGCATTCAAATCATCGGTAAACACGCGTACAAGTATCCGGGAGAATTGGTAGCGAAGGACGCGCACCCGCGCGCCGTGGAGGCCTTGGGCCGTGTCTTTGGCGCTGGCTGCGCGCTCCTGAGAGTGACCGGCTCCGAAGACCCAATCGTGGACCGCATTCCGCTAGAGAGGATCGACGTGATTTGCTCCTTTGTTACGTCTTACACCAACGGCGGCTTGAGAGAGTTAATCATCGAAGAAGTCTCGCTTTCATCGGCCACCTTGGTCGAGATGTGTCAGGCCTCGCCTAAGCTGACGCTGCTGCACGCGCCTGCGAGGATAGAGAAATGGATAAAGCTACTTCCATCGGACGCTGAATGCGTCGCAATAAGCACTGCGTGCCCCGAGCTGAATGATGTCCGCTTCGCGGACACCGATTTCAGCCCCGCGGAGACCTGGAGTATCCATTTTCCAAATCTTCGCTGTCTTTGCGTGAGTGACAATCAAACCCTGGATTACGTGCCGACGCTGCTCGGTGCGATTTCAGCAGCGGCGCGCTCTACGAACGCGACCGAGCTCGACGTCGAGGCGTGTCATGTCTCCCTCGAGCTGATTGACGCGATCGTCGGCACGCCTCTCGGCGACCGCATCGAGATGTTTGGTTTCGTTGGAGTAAACTGCAACGAAACCAACCTCGAGCCTGAGGCTGTGCTAGCCGCGGCGCGAGGATTTCCGCGACTACGCAGTTTGGCTATTCCTTATGGTTCGACGATGGGCGGCCCGGACTTCTATGCGAAGCTCGCACGCGCAAATCCTGACCTCAAGGAGCTGGCATTGCATGACGGTTCCACCACCGACGCGTGTATTGTCGCTGCATGCGAAAACCTCAGCTTGGAGCGTCTTGTTTTCGAAGACTTCTCTGCGAGTTCGCGCATCGTCGACGGCATCCTCGCGGGCGAGACAAGATGGACGCTCCGCTGGCTTCGCATAGACAACTGGGGCGGTGGTACGGATGGGAGTCGCGCTCGCGCCGTCGACGTGCTGCGGCTCGTCCGGGGCTGTCCGAAACTCAGAGGAATCGACTGGTATGAGTCCGACGAGGATCATGATCCTGGCTATTTTGAGATGCTTCCCGAGACCTGCGATGAGATCGCGAGGGTCCTCACCAGGGCAGCAAAAGAGAGCGAAATTCCCAACTTCAAAGGCTCATATCTCGGCCGTTTTCCACTCGTTTCGGCTGATTTTTGGACGAGCGATCATCTCTCGGAACGGTCTCGAAGCGCGGATGCTGTTTCCGGAACGCGCGCGCGCGGAACACTCACATTGAAGCGACGTTGAATCACCCTTTTTGCTGCCCAGGTCCTCACCGGCCGCGGAGGGTGGGTCGTGTCAAAGCCGGTGAGTGGCCCGGCGAACCTCCGCGGCGGAGACAGCGGAGTCCTCTTTGAATGTGGTCCGTAGTAAGTGCCCATGGCCCCTACTAGGACCTTCGAGGAGCTACACTCACGCGCTCGGCCGGCCGTGGCGCGTCGCGCGCTTCGAGCCGTAGGTCGTGTGGATGTGCTTCTGCTTCTGCTTGAGGACCGCGTACTCCGCCGTCGCCGCGTCGAGGTCCAATCCCCCGGAGCGCACCTTGGCGGCGAAGTCCGGGAAGAAGGCCTCGGCCTCGGCGACGATGTCGTCGAGGCTCAGCACCTGGGCGGAAAAGGGTGATTCAAGTTCTCTTCAACATGAGTGTTCCGCGCGCGCGCGTTCCGGAAAAAGCATCCATGCTTCGAGACCGTTCCGAGAGATGATCGCTCGTCCAAAAATCAGCCGAAACGAGTGGAAACCGGCCGAGATCGGAGCCTTTGAAGTTGGGAACTTCGCTCTCTTTTCCTGCCCTGCTCAGCACGGGCTCGTCGAGGTGCGCCTGGACGTCCGCCTCCGTCGCGAACGCGTTGACGCCCAACGCGAAGTCGCGCGCGCCCGGCTTGACGTAGAGCGTCGACGACGACGTCAGGCGCTCGAGGTGCTGGGGCGCCCAGCGGTAGGTCCAGCCGGCGCGCTCGAGGCGCGGCCAGAGCTTGCGCCAGGCCGAGGACGCCGAGCTCATCGCCGGCGCGTCGCGCGGCTCCGCGCTCGGCCGCCGCTTCTTCGACGACGATGGCTCGGCGGCCTTTTTGCGCGCCGGCGCGGGCTCGTCCCCGCGGCGTCGCTTCGTCGCCACGGTCTCCGTGGGCCAGAGCTTCTCGCGGTCCGCGACGGCCCACAGCGCCTCGCGCTCGAAGTAGTCCTCGCCCTCGACCAGATCCGCGAGCTTCGCGCCCTCGTGGCCCGGCCGCAGGTAGTAGAAGTCGACGAGGCCCGAGCCGCGCTTCCAGGTCCAGCCCCGGCCCTTGAGCGCGGACCAGAGCACCGACTGGTTCCGCACGGGCGCCTCCTCGTACTGCGTCGGCTCCCACGCGGCCTCCGGCGACTCGTCCTCCTCGACGGCCCGCCGCGCGGCGGGCTTCTGCTTCCGCGTCTTCTTGAGGGCCTCCAGCGGCTCGTCGCTCTCCGACGACGACTCCGCGACGACGGCGCGCTTCTTGCTCGGCGGCTTCCGCGGCGCCTTCGCCGGCCGCTTCGCCGGGGGCTTCCGCTTCGGCGGCGGCTTGCGCCGCCGCGGCGGCGGCGGCGCGGCGAGGGCCGGCGGCGGCGGCGCGGCGAAGTTGTTGAGCTCGACCATGGCGCCCAGGACCTCGCCGACGACCGCGCCGTCCTTGAGCGCGCGCGCGCGCTTCAGGAGCTGCTCCGCGGCGTCGAGGAGCGTCTCCTTGGCGCCGGTCAACGCGTCCGCGGAGGCGGCGTGCGCGCGCGTCAGCGCGGCGGCCGCGGCGTCGAAGGCCGCCGCGGACGCGACGGGCTCCTCGTCGTCGTCTTCCTCGTCGCTCGACGACGACGACGCGGGCGGCGGCGGCGCCTTGCGCTTCTTCGCGGGCCGCGGCGCGGGCGCCTCGCTCTCCTCCTCCTCCTCCTCGCTCGACGACGGCTCGGGCGGCGGCGGCGCCTCTCTTCGCCGACGCGCGGGCGCCGGGGCCGCGTCGGAGTTGCGCCGGAGGCGGCCGCCGCCGTCGCGGCCGCGCGGCGCCGGCGCCGCCGCGCGCTTCCCGCGGCACTCGAGCGCCGTCTCCTCTTCGTCGTCGTCGTCGTCGGACGACTCGGCGCCGCCGCGGGGGAGCTCGAAGCCCGAGCCGGAGCCCGTGCCGCGCCGCGGCCGCTTGAGCCACTCCTCGGACAGCTTCTTCTTCGGGCTCGCGTCGACGCGCGCGTCGTGCGCCGCGTCGCCGGGCGACTCGACGCCCGAGTCGTCGTCCTCGTCGTCGTCGTCCTCCTCCTCCTCCTCGGGCACGTCGTCGACCTCGTCGTCGTCGTCGTAGTCGAAGGACCGCTTCCGCGCGGCGCGGTCGCCCGGGGCGTCGGGCGGCGGCGCGCGAGACGCGAGCCAGGCCGTCCGCTGCGGCGCCGGTTTCGGCTTCGGCGCCGCCGGGGACGCCTCGGACCGCAGGTCTGCGATGGCGCCCGCGGCGTCGAGCGACTCCTCGCGCCGCGCGGGCTCCGCCGGCGACTCGAGCGACGAGACGGACGCGTGCTGCGCGGCCTCGGCCGGCGCGGGCGACTCGACGAGGGGCAGCTCCGCGTCGCCCTCCGTGAGCTGCGTCATCTGCGAGTCGACCTCCGCGGGTGCCTCCGGCGGCACGTGGTAGCGGCACTTGTCGCCCACGAGCGAAATGGCCTCCAACGCGCGTTCCCGCTCGTCGTCGTCGTCGTCGAGGCGCGGCGGCACGGACGCCGTCGAGTAGGCCGCGGCGCCGAGGAAGGCGACGGTGAGCCGCAGCGTCAGCCGCGCGCGCGGCCCCGCGTACTCCAGGAGCGCGCAGTCGACCGTCGCGACGGCGTCGCCCAAGGCCGCGTCCGGCACGAGCCAGAGCGACGCCGGGCGCGCGGCCGGCCGCGGCGACCGCGCGGACAGCGACTCGAGCAGCGACGACACGGCCGACTCCTGGCTGAAGGACGCCGGCGTCTCGTCGCCGACGCTCGGCTCCCGGGGCGCGTCCGGGAGCTCCGCGCCCGCGGGCACGACGACGACGCACCGGGGGAACCGGCGCCGCAGGAAGGCGACGACGGCCCTGCGCTGGAGGTCGACGGAGCCCGCGGACTCGCCCCGGCCCGCGTCGGCGACGGCGTCGGCGAGCGCGTCGACGTCGAGGTCGTCGCCGTCGACGGCGACGAGCCGCGCGGCCGGGCCGTCGCCGACGTCGCGGACCGCGCCCTCGTCCTCGAGCCCGGCGCCCCAGGCCGCGAAGGCCGGCCGCGAAGGCTCCTCCGGCGCGCGCCGGAGCCAGCCGTCGTCGTCGGCCGGCGGCGCCGGGCCCTGGCTCTGCGTCGCCTCGCCCGCGACGAACGCGAGCGACTCCTGCGACGCGGCCTGGCTCTGGCTCGGCGCCGCGTTGAACGCGAGCGACTCCTGGGACGGCGCCCGCGTCTCGCGAGCGAGCGACTCCTGGGACGGCGCCTGCGTCTGGCTCGCCCACGGCGCGAGGGACGCGCGGCTCGCCTGGCTCGCCTGGCTCCCCTCGATCGCTCCGCTCGCGCGGTCCGCCGGGCTCGCGCGGCCCGCCGGGCCGCCCGGGCTGCCCCGGCCCGCCGGGCTGCCCTGGCTGCCCCGGCCCGCCGGGCTCGACGGCGCAGCGACGCGGACCGACTCGTCCGTCGCCGGCTCCTTGAACGACGCGTCGCTCGCCGCGAGGTTGCGCTGGCTCGACGCCGCCGCGACGGCGACGGACTCGTCCGACGCCGGCGCCGACTCCGGCGCGGCCGCGGCGGCGCCGGGCGCCGGCGGGGCCCCGGCGGGCGCCGCCGAGAGCTGCGAGAAGCCGTCGTCGGAGTAGAGCTGCGTCGGGACGACGGACGACCCGTCGTCGGACCGCGGCGACCGCGGCGACCGCGGCGCGGGCGCGTCGCCGGCCGCGGGCGCGTGGAGCGACGCGCCCTCGGGGATGGCCGGGAGCTGGTCCGGGGCCGGCGCTTTGGACCGCTGCGAGAGGTCGTCGGGCGACGCGCCCGGGGCCTTGCTCAGCTGCGAGAGGTCGTCGTCGGAGTAGAGCTGCGTCGGCACGACCGACGACGCGGCGGGGCTCCCCGCCGCGCGCGGGCTCCCCGGCGACGCGCGCGGGCTGGCGCGCGGGCTGCCCGCCGACGCGCGCGGGCTCGCCGCCGCCGCCGCCGGCGCGGCCTCGACGTCGTCGGCGACGTCCGGCAGCATGGGCGCGCCCGCCGCCGCCGCCGCCGGCGCGGCCTCGACGTCATCGGCGACGTCCGGCAGCATGGGCGCGCCCTCCGGCGCCGGCGCGGGCGCCTCGTCGGCGGGCGGCGGCGGCGGCGTCGCCGCGCGCGGGCTGCTGCCGAGCGACGCGCCGTCGATCTGCGTGCCTCCGCCGCCCGAGGACGACTCCTCCTCGTCGTCGTCCTCCTCCTCCTCCGCCGCCGGCGGCGGCGGCGCCTCGATCTGCGTGCCGCCCGCGTCGTCGCCGTCGACCTGCGTCGCCGCCGCTTCGAGCTGCGTCTGTAGCTGCGTCGCGACGACGCGGCCCTCGTCGGGCGCCGTGTGCTGGCTCGGCGCCTGCTGCTGCGTCGCGCTCAGCGGCTCGGGCGGCGACACGGCGAGCGTGCCGTCCTCGTCCTCGGCCGCGGCGCGCAACGCGGCGTTCCGGTCGTCGGTCACCATGGCGGCGGCGGCGGAGACGTCGGCGGCGGAGACGAAGGACGTGCGCCGCGGCTCGCCGAAGGGGTGTTTCTTCAGAGGCGAACTTCGGCGCTGCGGCGTCATGTGCGAGCCTCGCGTGGTGCGCCTTCGTCGATTTGACTGTGCTATCGTCGCGCGCTCTCTGGACCGGTCTCGATGTCGACGATGAGGACGGCAACAACGAAAACTTGAAGCGAGCTATGGGCCGCTCTTTCTCTTTTTCGACCGCATGCCTGGCCCTGGCAGCGCGCACGTCCTCATTAATCGACGCGCCATCGCATAAGCTCGCTCCAGTGCAAAAAACAGCGCCGCCGGTTGCATACGCGCCGCAGACGACTCGACGAGCTCTCTTCGGCGGCGCCGCGGCGCTCGTCGCCGCGTCCCCAGCATGCGCGCTGCAAGAACTGCCACAAACCGTGCGAAAATACACGGCGCTCGCGCCGCTGGGCCCCGCGGACCGGCAGCTCGGCGGCGCGAAGCGCATCTGCCTCAGCGACGTGCTGCCCGAGTGCCTGCCGCAACTCGCCGCGATTCTCGGCCGCGACCTCGAGCGCGGCTCGACGGGCCGCGGCGGCTACCCCGTCACCGGCGACCTGTCGCCCGAGATCTTCAGAGATGACTGCCGCTTCCTGGACCCGACGAACGACGTGACGTCGCTCGCGAAGTACCAAAAGGCGCTCACGATTCTCTTCGACCCCGGCGCGTCGTCCGTGCGGCTCGTGACGGCGCCCGTCGCCGACGAGGCGAGGCGCACGATCTCCGCGACGATCCGCTCCGAGGGCGTCCTCCAGCTGCCCTGGCGGCCGAAGATCGCGCCCTGGGAGAGCTACCTCACGTGGCGCGTCGACGGCGACGGCCTCATCTACGAGCAGGCCCAGACGTGGAACATCACGAGCGGCTCCGCGCTGCGCCAGACCTTCGCGTTCTTCTAAGAGCCCGCGCAAAGAACGAGCGCGGCGACTTAGCGGCCGTCGCCCGCGTCTCCTCGAGCGGCCGGGGGGGGGGGGGGGGGGGGACGTTGTCGCCTAGATGTCCTGGACCTCGAGGTGGCTCTGCGTGTAGAACGCGCGCGTCGCGTGGCTCCGGCCGAAGTGCTCGACGCGCTGCACGGCCCACGCGCCGTCGCCGATGTCCTGGGACGCCGTGCGGTAGGGCCCTCGTCGCATCTCGCGCTTGTGCGCCGTGTGCGTGTTGTAGAATTTGTCGCGGTGCATCTTCGGGTCGAACTTGGTCTCGCGGGATCGGCCTGGGTAGCAAAAGGGTGCGAAATTCCCAACTTCAAAGGCTCATATCTCGGCCGTTTTCCACTCGTTTTGGCTGATTTTTGGACGAGCGATCATCTCTCGGAACGGTCTCGAAGCGTGGATGCTTTTTTTCGGAACGCGCGCGCACGGAACACTCATGTTGAAGCGACGTTGAATCACCCTTGTGCTGCCCCGGGATCGGCCGACGTCGTAGAGGTGCTTCGGCGCGTCGAGGCCGACGGCCGCGCGGAGGTCCTCGCCCCGCGCGCGCTCCTCCGCGAGCTTCGCGTGGGCCTGCGTGATGCGGTCGTCCAGCGCCTTGCCGCCGCGGATGAGGCGCTTCTCGCGCTTGAGGAGGTCGCGGTACTGCTCCGTGCGGATCCGCTGGCAGAACTCGTCGCGCTTCGACGCGTCGTGGGTGCCGAAGCCGAGCTTCCGCGACGCGTAGGGTTCCCGCTTGCCGTAGGGCAGCTGCTCGACGTACTTGTCCGGCATGTAGTCGAAGGCCCGGCCCATGAGGCCGAAGTAGCCGCCGCCCGCGTTCCCGGGTTTGCCCGGCACCATCATCTGCTTCTCCTTCCACCGCTTCGGCAGGTCGTGGCTCGTCTCCTTGTAGGGGTCCCTACGGCCGCGACGGCGTGAGTTGGTTCCATCGGCGCGCGCGGTCGGTGAAGGCGCACGCACCCGATGGAGATGTAGCGTCCGCTGTCGCACTGGACGCGCGGGTGGATGAACTTGTCGGAGTACATGCCGCTCAGGTGCGCCGTGTAGCCCGTCTCCGCGACGTGGCGCTGCGCGACGACGTCGCGCACGGCTGGATCCATGGCGGCGGCGGTGGCGCGGGCCGTCGGAAGGCAGCCCAACCAGCAACCGTCTATGAGTTGTCAGCAACCGGCAAATCTCAAGGATCTTTCCGCGCATGCCGTTTTGCTTGAATGCGAAACCGGCGCTCGAGTGCTTACCCGGCGCCCGCGAGCGACGGCGGCGCGGCGTAGGCCGCCGCGCCCGGCGGCGGCGTCGGCGCCTCCCGGCCGACGCGCAGGATCTCGTCCGCGATGACCCTCAGCTTCGCCGCGTCGCGCGGGAACCGGTGGCCCTCCGCGTGCTCGTGGACGGGCGTCGCCTCGTCGTAGATGGCCACGAGGCCCTGGCCGTAGTCGTACATGGGGTCCTTGGGGCTGAAGACGAGCGCCGCCGGGAAGGCGAGCCGCGGCTTCGGCAGCGTCGCGCGCCATTTCGCGTCGCGCGGCGGGATGCCGCACACGAGGACGTTGCCCCGCCACGACGGCGTGTCGCCGCGCTTGAGGAAGGCCGCCGTGACGAGCGTCGTGATGATCGTGCCCTGGCTGAAGCCGCAGATCACGTCGAAGGGGCCGCGCTCCGCGATGTAGCGCTCGACGAACGCGACGCCCGCCTCGACGTCGGAATACGTGAAGTTCACCGACTCGTCGAAGAGCTTGTCGTTGTAGTCGCGGTCCGGGTCGCCGTCGTCGTCGACGCCGTACCAGCCGTAGAAGGGCCCGCCGTCGAACATCGCGTGGAGCATGGGGTCGACGCGGCTCGTCCACGGCCGCGTGCCGTCCAGAAAGTCCCAGGTCGCGCGGTCGCCGAGCTCCCGGCGCAGGGCCGTCGTCTGGAAGTCCATGACCTTGGCCGACGCGCCGCCGCCGTGCAGGCCCAGCACGCGCAGCGGCTTCGCGGCGCCGCCGGCCGGCTTCAGCAACTTCCGCGACAGGAAGCCCTCGCCGGACGACGACGACACGCGCGCGCGCGGCGTGCCGTCCTCGGCCTCGGCGAGCTCGAGCACCGTCACCTCCGCGTTGCCGGGGACGATGCACTGCTTCGGGGAATTCAGCGCCGCGCCGCGCCGCAATATGGCGCCATTCTTTCCCGCGATGCGGCACCTGGCGCCGATGCTGATCATCGGCGGCTCGAGGGCGCGCGCCGCCGCGGCAAGGAGCAGGACCGCCCGCGTCGTCGCGATGCGAAAGGCGACGCGAAACCCAGGCGACGCGGGTGACGACGCCAAGGCCACTGGTTGTGGCTAGCAGCATGAGTGCAGCACCGTGGCAATGATGCTTCGACATCGAACAAGGGCGGCGGCTGGGGACGCACGCGGGGCCCGCCGGCTGCCGGGGCAGCCATGAAGGTCCGCTTCAGCGCCTGGGGCTCGTCGTCGTCGGAGAAGGGGAACACGTACAAGATCCTGGAGCACTACATCCGCAACGAGATCGACGGCGACTCGCCGTCGTCGACGCTCATCTGGTGCGACCTGGCCTTCACGCTCGTGGCGCTCATCGCCTGCATCGAGATCACCGTGCTCTGCCTCCTCGCGCTGAAGCAGCACGCCTGCCGCATCTACGACCTGGACCTCCAGCGCTGGGCGCTTCGCGTCATGCTCATCGCGCCCGTCTACAGCTGGCTCATCTGGAGCTCGCTGCGCGTCGCCCGGAGTTAAGGAAACCGCCGTCGTTTCCAAACACATACAACCGTTAGGTGGGAGCCGAAGCTCGCCTACTGGGTCGAGGTGCCCGTGGGCTGCTACGAGGGCGTGGCCATCTTCGCGTTCTTCTCGCTCCTCGTGTCGTTCACGGGCGGCGAGGACAAGGTCGTCATGGCCCTGGGCACGGGCGCGGAGCGGCGGTCCGGGGCCCCGGGCCGCGCGGCGCGCGCCTGCGCCGTCTACCACCCCTTCACGCTGGCGACGTGCTGCGGCCGGCGGTCCGAGGCCGCGCGGTCCTGGGTCGAGGTGCCGATGCTCAAGTTCCACGAGCCGAAGACGCTCTACCGGTTCCTCAAGAGCTGCGTGTCCCAGTTCGTCGTCGTGAAGCCGCTCAACGCCGTCGCGCTGGCGGCGCTGAGCGACTCCGTGGATTCCGCGCACCTGCTCGCGGCTCGGATAATCACGGCCGCGTCGCTCGTTTTAGTGGCGCAGGCGCTCATGCAGCTCTACATCGTGGCGCTGCCGCGCATCCGGGGCATGGGCGGCGAGAAGCTCTTCTCCCTGCTCCAGCTCGTCATCGTCGTGATCATCGCCCAGGAGCTCGTGATCACCGTGTTGTTGTTAGATTCGGACGCGACGAGCTCGACGATCCTCGCGTCGACGCGCTTCGTCTACGCGCTCACGATCGTCGAGCTCACGGTCTTCACGACGATCTTTTATCGTTTGCTCCCGCCGAACCGCTTCGCGGCCATCGCCGCGCGCTACGGCGAGACGCCCATGGTGCCGGCGACGCGGGCGTCGCACGCCGCCGCGGACGTCTCGGGCGGCCGCCGCGACAGCGACCCGCCCCTGCCCGACGAGCGGCCGCCGGCCCGCGACGCCGAGGCGCCGGCGGACGAGGCGCAAACGCCGGGGAGCTACCGGACCATGTCCACGTGCGCGCTCCTCGGCGCCGTGCTCGACCCGCGCGACGTCTTCGCGCTGCGGTCCGCGCCGCCGCCCCTGGCGACGCCGGACATCGACGCCGACGTCCGGGCCGCGCTCGACCGGCCGCCGTCGCTCCTCGACATCGCCGACCTCCACCCGGCCGTCGAAAAAAACGACAAGGCGCCGTGCCACTACCCGCCGAACGGCGAGGAGACGCCCCTCATCTAAGAAGGTGGACTCGAGTCTCGCCCCTCATCGAAAAGGCGCGATTCGCGATTCTCTTCTTAAGCCGCGGGCCTCGGCGCGGTGTCGCCCGTGCCCTCGATCATGATCTTGACGAAGGCCTGGTAGTCGATGTGGCCGTCGGAGACGCCGAAGGTCTCGATGAGCTCGTCGACCTTGGCGCCCAGACCGGCGCCGCCGGCGTCGTCGTCCGCGGGCACGAGGCTCGCCATCATGGCCCAGAGCTGCTCGCTCTCGACCCAGCCGTGGCCGTAGGGGTCGAGCAGCGCGAAGGCCTCGAGGAACATGGCGCTGTACTCCGCCTGGGCCATGAGCGCGAGGAAGTCCTCGGCCGTGATGTCCTTGTTGTTCTCCACCTCCGGGTTCGCCTTGTTGATGACGCTCACGAGCTCGTCCTCGCCGAGGTCCCGGCCCACGGCCGACATCAACGCCGCGAGGTCCTTGGGCCCGATGGTCCCGTCGCAGTCCCGATCCAGGATCTTGAACGTGTCGAGGAACTCGTCGCGCTGGTAGTCCGTGAGCTGCGCGACGAGGCCCGCGCGGTAGGCCTTCTCGGCCGGGTTGCCCCACTTCGGCGACCGCTTCGCCGCCTGGTCGAACGCGCGCACGACGGAGCGCACGAGGCGCAGCCGCTGCATGAGGCTCAGCCCGCCGGCCTTGGCGTACTTGGCCGTCAACGCGCCCGCGGGCGCCTCGACGGGCGGCGACGCCGCGGGCTTCGCGACCTCGGGCGCGGCTTCGAGATCGTCGAGCGCCGACGTCGGCATCTCGTAGCCCCACAAAAAGTTCTCGCTCGACTCCAGCAGGTTCGACAGCCGCGTCGCGTCGTCGAAGGCGCCGTCGGCGCGCTTCAGCGCGGACCGCTCGATGGTCACGGCCTTGACGCGCGTCGCGGCCAGGATCGTCGCCATGCGCGGCTCGTTCGTCGCGAGCCCCCGCTCCCCAAAGTAGGACCCGGGGCCCAGCGTGTTCGTGAGCTCGCCGTAGGCCGTGCGCATGGAGTTGGGGCTGAAGCCCGGCATGCGCGCGTCCAAACCGAGGCCCTTGGTCGACTCGAAGACGTCGCACTCGCCGTCGACGATGACGAAGAAGCGGCGGCCGACGTCGCCCTCGGTGACGATGACGTCGCCGGCGTCGTACTCGGCGACGCGCGCCTCCGCGGCGAGGTCGTCGAGCTCCGGGCCCTTGAGGGAGCCGAGGAGCGGCACGCGCGCCATGACGCGGCGCGCGACGGCGACGGGGTCGCTCGGGTCCCGGGCCGGCGCGACGGCCTCGAGCGCCTCGGCGACGTCCTCGCGGGCCTGGCGCGACCGCCGCGCGTCGACGACGCGGCCCGCGGCGTCGTCGCCGCCGCCGCCGGCCGCCGCGGCGCCGTCGCCCGCGCCGTCCGTCGTCCACTTTTCCAATTTCTCCTTCAGCAGCTCGATCTTCCGCGGCCCGCAGGGGAAGCTCTCGACGCGGGCCCCGCCGGAGTAGAACTGGACGAGGGGCAACACGTTGACGTCGATGCGCTGGAGGAACGCCGCGCCGTCGTCCTTGGCAGTGACCTCCTTGTGCGACATCTCGTAAAATTTCACGTTCTTCGGCCCGTACTCGGCGCTGAGGCGCTCGTACTTGGGGGCGAGGCCCCGGCAGGCGCGGCACCAGGGCGCGTAGAACTTGATGACGACGAGGCCGTCGTCCCGCGCCGTCGCGCTCGTGAACGTCGCCTCGTCGGGCAGCGGCGCGACGGAGGCCTTCTGCTCCGGCGGCGTCGCCGTGGAGCGGAGCGCCGCGGGTCGTCGGGCGACGCCCGACGCGCCGAGGAAGGCGGAGGCCGGCGCGGCCAAGCACCAGAGCGCGGTTGCGCACGCTGCCAGCCTCATGCCTCCTCAATCGCCGGCGTCAGCCTCGGCCCGCAAGCTGGCAGCGGGACGATGTTGAACCTCCTCGTCGCTCGCAGTCGCTCGTGCTCAGACTTGTTCAGGATGGGCACTGTCGTCCCCACTCGTGGGCACATTACCGCGCACCGCAAGAACCGAAAGAACGCGAGTTACGCGAGGCGCCGCCGCCCCGACCTCACTTCTCGCGCAAGTCCGCGAGGGGCGTCGCCTCCGGGAGGTCGAGCGCCTCGTCGCGCGTGAAGTCGGCGACGAGCTCCGGGTAGCCGAGGAGCTCGTGGGGCGCGAGGAGGTCCGCGTCGACGAGCGCGTCCGTCGCCGCCGCGAGGACGCCGCGCGGCATGCGGAGGCCGTTGGACCAGCCGACGGTCGTGAGCCACGTCGCCGCGTCCTCGACCTGGAGCCCGTAGTCCGCGGCGACGTCGGCGGCGAGGTCCGGCATCGCCAGCGAGCGGCCGCGCACGGCCCTCAGCGTCTCGCCGATGTCCGCGGCGCGGTCGCGCGCCGCGTCCTTCGTGGCCACGAGCGTGAAGCAGGGCCAGGGCGTCGGGACCTCGGCGACGCGGACCCACTCGCCGCTGTCGACGAGGGGCTTCGTCGTGAACTTCTCCCACATGAAGACGTCGGCCGCGCCGCTCGCGAGCGCGTCGCGCGCGCCCGCGAGGTCCCGGACGACCTCGAAGGCCGGCGGCGGCGCGCCGCGGCCCCGCGCGTCGACGAGCGCCATGATGTGGCTGCCGCTGCCGAAGCGCGACACGCCGTACGTCGCCGCGTCCAGCGCGGGCGCCGGCCGCGCCGCCGACGCGTGGACGCCCCAGCAGAGCGGCGTCGTCGTGTAGGCGCCCAGGATCGTCACCTCGCCCTTGTGCGCGAAGAGCGCCGCCGCCTCCGTGAGGAGGATGGCGACGTCGAGCTCGCCCTCGCGCAGCGCCGTGGCCATCTCGCCGCTGCCGCCGGCGTACTCCGTCCAGGCGAAGGGCGCCGCCGCGGCCTTGCTCGCGAGGCGCAGCGGGTAGTTGAAGTGCTCCGGCACGCCGCCGACGCGCAGCAGCGCGCGCGCGGCCATCGCGACGGAGACGGTCGCGTCGAGGCTGCCGCTGCTGCTCCTCGGCGAGCTGCGGCAAAAAGAGTTCAAGGACTCGTGATTTCCTCAACGCTGCCCTCCCCAGCGGACATCACGATGGCCGCGGGCAGGAGACGAAGGCGCCTCCTCGCGCTGCTGCTCGCAGGCGCGCACGCGGCGTCGCGGGAGAAGTGCGACCCGACGTCGCCCGGCTCCGAGGACTGCGAGACCTGCCCGCGCGGCCGCTACCGGCCCCAGAAGAACAGCCTGCCCATCGGGACGCGGCGCCGCGAGTGCGAGAAGTGCCCCCGGGGCCGCTACGGCGAGACGGCGGGCCTGACGGAGAGCACGTGCACGGCCCAGTGCCCCGCGGGCCGCTACAGCGAGGTCGCGGGCGCGCGGACGCTCGACGACTGCGAGCTGTGCCCGCCGGGAAGGTACGGCTCGACGGCGGGCCTCGCGTCCCCGGCGTGCACGGCGGCCTGCCCCAGCGGCAAGTCGTCGAGCTCCTGGGGCCTCACGGCGTCGTCCCAGTGCGCCACCTGCCCGCCGGGGCTGCGGGCCTGGCAGTGCGAGGATCTGCTGGTCGCGCGCAAGGGCACGATCAACGAAGAGAGCGACGGGTCGCCGACCATCGACTACAACGAGGAGTTCCTCGAGGGGCAGATCGTCGAGGACAGCCACGCCTACATCGTCGACAACGAGGACATCCCCCAGGGCGCGTCGCCCGTCGCCTTCGACTCCTGGGACCCCATCCACAAGACGTACGACCCCGCGCTGGACAACGTCCGCGAGCCGACGAACTCCTACTTCGAGAACGTCAACGTCTAGCGCTTCTTAACGGCGAACTTCTTCTTGCGCGGTGCCGGCGGCCGGGACGCGGAGGTCCGCACGCGCGCCCTGAGCGTCGCGGCGAGCGCCGCGTCGACGGGCCGGTCTTCGACGGCCGCGCCCGCGGCGTCCCGCAGGAGCCGCTCGAGCAGCGGCTTGTGCGCCGGCAGGTCCGCCTCGTCCTCGGGGACGCGGTCGAAGGGCTCGTCCGTGAGGTTCAGCCCCGCGCGCATGCGCTCGCCGACCTTCCGGAGGTCCCGCGGCGTGTTAAACTCCTGGTGCGCGAACTGCTCGAGCTTGTTTCTCACGAAGGCCTCGTCGCCGAAGTAGGACAGGTGCCAGCCCGCCATCGGCACCGTCTCCAGCGCCGGGACCATGCGCGCGGCCTGGCACCCCAGGCGTCGCAGCTCGGCCCAGGGCGCGGCCTTGGGGTACGCGTCCCAGGCGTCGCGCCAGCGGAACCGGAAGTCGTAGTAGAACGTCCGCATGCTCAGCGCCCGCAGCTTCGGCGGCGCCGCCCGGAGCCGCGGCAAGCACGCGACGTTCACGATCTCGTCGGCGTCCGTCAGGAGCACGACGTCGTCGTCCGCGAGGCCGAGCGCCTCGAGGCCCGCGGCCAGCGCGTCGCGCTGGTGGTGCTCGCGGACCCACGCGTCGTCCGTGGCCGGCATGTCGTCGTCGACGACGTGGACGATCTTCGGCAGGTACGCCGCGTAGCGGTCCAGATGCTGCTCGAAGAGCAGGGGCTTGGGCCGGCCCGCGTGCGTCCGCGTCGCCTCGCACAGCACGATCCAGTCGACGTGCGCGCCGACCTCCTCGAGGCGGAACTCGAGCATCGCGAACTCGTTGTAGAACGTGAAGGCGTCGACGACCTGGCGGCGCCGCCGCGCCGCGAGCACCTTCAGCGAGCACCAGCCGGCCACGGGCGCCGTGAGGCGGCAGCGGCCGTCGACGGTCTCCGCGACGGCGACATCGGCGCCGGCTGGTACGACGTCCACCTGCGCGCTCGCGAGGTCCTTCTCGCTTCTTACAATCGCTCCATTTTTGGCTTTGACGACGTAGGACGTCATGTCGGGCGGCTTATGGTGGGGCTGCTGGACGCCATCATCATCGGCGCCAAAGAATCTCGGGCCAAGTTGCAGAAGACGGTCTCGCTGGACAGCATGGCTTACACCTCAATTGCCCTCCTCGCGTCGGCGGCCACGGCCCTCATCGCGCCGTCGACGCTCCCGAAGCGCTCGACGGCCCTCCGCGCCGAGTGGAACGACGGCTACGCGTCGAAGATCTGCTTCGTGCGCCACGGCCAGAGCGAGTGGAACGCCGACAACCTCTTCACGGGCTGGGCCGACCCGCCCCTGACGACGCTGGGCAAGAACGAGGCGGCGGCGGGCGCGACCTACATGTGGAAGGAGGAGTTGAACTTCGACGTGGCCTACACGTCGGAGCTCACGCGCGCGCAGCAGACGCTCGACATCGTCCTCAAGCTCATCGACCAGGAGGACATCACGGTGCACAAGTCCTGGCGCCTCAACGAGCGCATGTACGGCGCGCTCCAGGGCCTCAACAAGAAGGAGACGGTGCTCAAGTACGGCGACGACCAGGTCAAGGAGTGGCGCCGGTCCTACTCGACGCCGCCGCCGCCGGTCGACCTCGACAGCGAGTACTGGCCGGGCAACATCAACCGCTACGCCCACGTGCCCGCGGCCGACATCCCGCTGTCCGAGTGCCTCAAGGACACGGTGGAGCGCACGCTGCCCTACTGGGACGCGGCCGTCGTGCCCGCGCTCGAGCGGGGCAAGACCGTGCTCATCGCCGCGCACGGCAACTCCATCCGGGGCATGCTCAAGATGCTCGACGCCATCCCCGACGAGGACATCGTGGGCCTCGAGATCCCGACGGGCGTGCCCCTGCTCTACCACCTCGACGCGGACCAGAAGCCGCTGAAGGATCCGCGGTCCTTCGGGCTGCTCTCGGGCGCGTTCCTCGGCGACCCGGAGGAGATCAAGGCGGCCCAGGCCAAGGTCGCCGCCCAGACCAAGGTCCACACGGACGAGTCGCCCGCCGAGGTCGAGGAGCGCATCCTCGCCTACGCCCAGGGCAAGGAGAACTAGGTCACCGCGCGAGCCCCCAAGAGACCCCCCCCCAGTTCCGTCCGACTAACGACCCCCGACCCTCGTCGACGTTACGCGAAGTCCCGGTCGCGCCGGTGGTCGCCGACGAAGTCGATGAGGTCGAAGTCGTCGGGCGACGTCGGCGACGCGGGCGCGCCCGGTGCGTCCGCGCGGCCGGCGTCCGCGTCCGTGGAGAGGTCGCGGTGCGTCGACGGCCGCCGCTGCTTGGGCTTCGTCTCGATGGGCGAGTGCGGCTCCTCGGCGCTCCGCCGCCGGATCGCGTCCGCGAGGCCGCGGTCCCGCTTGTGCCTGGTGCCGAATCACATCTTCAACTCGACTTCAATGCGAGCGTATGCGACAGTTTCGACGCGAGACTTTCTCCTGTGCTTCGAGAGCTCGACAAGGGCAATCGATTCGTCCAAAAATCAGCCGAATCGACTTCGATGTGACCGAGCTAGAGAATTCTCAAGTTTGGTCAGGACCACCCAAACCAGTGGTTGGTTTCCACACGGGCTTGTGCCTGAGGTGCTCGCCCACGTGCTTCCGGATCGCCGGCAGCGCCGCCCGGAGCCGCCGCCGCGCGAAGTCGGCGAGGCGGTCGAAGTCGCCGGGCTCGTAGGACGCCGTGGAATTCGCGCAGAAGCCGCCGGCGTGCGCGTTCTTCAGCGGGCAGAACCTGGGCAGGAAAAGGGTGATTCAACGTGAGTGTTCCGCGCGCGCGCGTTCCTTGAAAAAAACATCCACGCTTCGAGAGCGCTCCGAGGGATGATCGCTGTCCAAAAAGTCAGCCGAAACGAGTGGAAAACGGCCGAGAGAGGAGCCTTTGTAGTTGGGAATTTCCTGCCCTGGACAGAACGCGTCCGACTCGTCGAGCTTCCCCAGGTGCATGGACACGAGCAGCGGCCCGTCGCCGAAGAGGTCGCGGTGGAAGCTCACGGGCTGGGACACGTAGGACCGCACGTCGACGGGCGGCAGCGTCCGGCCGCCGGGCGCGTTCCCGAAGACGCGCGCCGCGCTCAGCTTCGACCGCTTGAGCTCGCCGGCGACGGCCGCGGCGTCGAGCCGCGTCGCCGCCCCCGGCCGGTCCAGGAGCGACGTCGCCTCGAGGCGGTGGCACGACGCGTCCAGCGAGATGATGACGTCGACGTCGCGCGCCAATAACGGGTCGAAGGGGTAGTTGTGGGAGAAGCCCGCGTCCGCCAGCTCCAGGTCCCGGTCCGGCTCGAAGGGGTCCTTGAAGGTCGCCATCTTCAGCAGGCTCTTCCCCGGGTCGCCGCTCTTCGGGTCCGCGATGGCCCGCGCGACCGCCGCGCGGACGCCGTTCTCCCGGAACGCGCCGCCGCCCGTGAACCGCTCGACCGTCGCGCAGAACGCGGACCCGAAGACGCCGAGCAGCGCCCCGAGGGGCTCGCCGCCGAGGCAGCCGTTGGGCGCCTCGCCGGGCGCGCGCCCGAAGGTCGTCGCGTCGACGCGCCGCGGCGGCCCGCCGCCGGGCCGCGGCCGCTCGACGGGCGCGCAGTCCAGGGGCGTCAGCGCCCACCAGCGCCAGGCCGTGCGCTCCTCCGGCGCGGCGACGCCCTTGGCCACGCAGACGCCGCAGCGCCGCGGGAACGCGCCCGCGGGCCTCGTCCACGCGGCGCCCCGGAGCGCGTCGTCGTCGACGTCGAGCGACCGGAGGCGCCTCAGCGCGTCGTCGAGGGTCCGCGCCCCGAAGCCCGGGCAGCAGCGGTCGCAGACGGAGCTGCCGCAGCTCCGGCAGTGGTGCCGCGACGCCCCGAGCACGAGGCCGAAGGCCGCGCCGCACCGCTCGCACGACGTCGCCTCGGACCACGCGGGCCCGTGCCGCAGCGGCTCCACGGCCGTGAAGACGGGCAGGGGCGCGTCGCCGCCGGAGACCCGCGCGCGCAGCGCCGCGAGGCCGAAGCCGCCGAAGCGGAGCCGCGACTGGAGGAGCGTCGCCGCGAGGTGCGCGCCCCAGACGTCCGCGACGCCGACGCGCTGCCCGTCGCGCGCGCGCGCGGCGAAGCGCTCGTAGACGAAGGTCGACGCGTCCTTGCGCCCGCCGCTCAGAAAGCCCCCGGGCAGCCAGGAGCTCCGCGGCTCGCGCACGTCCCGGCGCAGGCGGTCGCGGAACAGCGGCGCGAACGTCGACGGCGACGGCGGCCGCGCGGTCCTGTCGCAGTCCTCCGCGTAGAGCGCCGCGAGGCTCCAGCAGCTCCCGGAGACGCCGGACACGTAGGTCGCGCAGTCCAGCAGGCCGCAGGCCTCGGCCTCCGCCAGCAGGCCGAGGAACGCCGTCGCCGCTCGGAAGCCGCCGCCGGAGCCGCAGAGCGCGACGCGGAGCGGCGGGTGGTCGTCGCCCGCGGGCAGGCCTAGGAACTTGGCCAGGGCGGGCCCCGTGACTTTGTCGCGGTGCGACACCCACTCGGCCTCGCTCTCCTGCACGGCGAGCTCCACCTGCTCGCCGGCGACGAACGGAAGCGCGTCGCTCCGGACGACGCCGCCCGTCGTCTTGTGCGACCCGAAGCCGTGGCGCCGCTCGAGGTCGCCCCGGTCCGCGAGGGCCTCGTAGTCGGCCCAGCGCCGCGGGTCGCCGACGTAGGACGCGCCCGCGGCGCCGCGGCCGCCCGCGCCGACGAGCGCGCCCGCGACGGCGCCCGGCGGCCCCGCGACGAGCATGCCGGCCACGCCCGTCGCCACGGCCGCCTGCCCCGCGGCGGCCGTCGCGCTCGACACGCGCCGCCCGAGCCACTCGTAGCCCGCGACGACGCCGCCGAAGACCGCCGCGCCGGGCGGGCCCGCGACGACAGCGCCGACGGCCGCGGCGGCCGCGACCTTCGTCGACGCGTCGTCCGCCGGCGCGCCCGCGGCGTCGGCGCGCCGCAGGCGCTCGAGCTCGCCGGCGAAGACGAGGAACTCGCCCTCCGTGAGCCGCCCCTTGCGGCCGCCGTCGGCGGCCTCCCACGCGCGCCGGAGCAGGGGCTTGGGCACGCCGCGGTACGTGTCGTCGACCCACCGCCGCACGGCCACGCCGCTCACGTCGCCCCTGGCGTCGCAGAGCGTGTGGTACGCCGTGCCCGCGGCGACCATGGCCGGCGACTCGTAGTCCGCCCATACCGCCTCGACGGTGACGACGGCGCGGTGCTCCGCGTGCTCGACCTCGAGGTCCGCCTCCTCGTCGCACTCCTTGTGGTCCTCGCCACCGCGACCGGCCGCCGCGGCGTCGGGCGGGGTGTCGGCCGCCTCCATGGAGAGCTTATGAGGTGCGGGCTGCGGCTTCCATATCGAGAGGCTGGAGAGTTGCCGGGGTAAATGTCGGCGGAAACGTCCGGAAGAATCGCGTAGTTGAAGCGATGTACCCGACTTTTTAGTGGCTTTTTACCAGCGCGAGAACGAGTGGGTCGCGGTGTCCGGAAGAATCGCACCGTTGAAGCGATGTACCCGACTTTTTACCAGCGCGAGAACGAGTGGGCCGCGGTGCGGGCCCGCCGCGGCCGCGCGCCGCCGCCGTAGAGCGCGTCGACGCTCATGCGCGCGACCGTGGGCGTGCGCATGAGGCGGAGGTCGTCGTCGGGGCGCGGCGGCCCGCGGCGGGACCGCGCGCGCGCCGTCGCCGCGTTCTCCTTGGCCGCCGCCGCGGCCCGGGCCGCCGCGCGCGCCTCGTCCCAGCGGCGCTGCGGGTCCGCCGCCGCCGTGTCGAGGGTCCCGTGGAAGCGGCCCGCGGGCGCCGCGTGCGCGGCCGCGGGCCGCGGCGGCCGCTCCGTGTGGCGCTTCGGCGGCGGCAGGGCCGCGTCGCCGGCGTTGAGCGACGCGTCGACGTTCTTGCGCAGCGCCGCGACGCGCCAGCGCAGGTGGTCGCCCCGGGAGCAGGCGCAGTGGCCGCCCGCGGAGACCTCGTAGACGCACTTGCAGTGGCCGCAGCGGCCGCGCCGCGGGTCCGCGCGCTGGCGCCGGGGCCGGCCGCGCGGGCTCGGCGCCGCCGGCGCCTCCGGGGGCGCCGGCAGCAGGCGCCAGGACGCCCAGGCGCGCCGCAGGCAGCGCGCGCGCGCGCCCTCGAACAGCGCGTTCAGGACGTCGTTCGTCGCGTCGCTCGCCTTCAGGTCGTCTTCGACGGCCTGCTTCTTCACGAGGCGCCAGGCCTCCCAGCCCCGCGCGAGGGCGCCCCGCGTCCACCGCTTCAGCGCGCGTTCGAGGAAGGCCGCGAGGAGCGTCCGCCGCTGCCAGGCCCACCAGTAGGCGCCCAGGGTCGACGCGCGGTGCCACGTCCTCGCGACCTTCTCCAGCCGTTTCCCGAGCTTCCGCAGCTCGTCGAGCGCCGCGCGCCAGCGGTTGAAGGCGGCGCCCAGGGCGCGATTCAAACAGCGCGCGACGACGCCGCGCAGGAACGCGGCCTTGGCGAGGAAGGCCGCGGCGCGCCGCCACGCTTCGAACGCGCGGCCCGCGGGGAACCAGCGCCGGAGCAGGTACGCGACGCGAGCGCCGAGCGCCTCCAGTTGCCGCATGCTCTGGAGCCAGTCGCGCCAGGCCTTCCAGCCCTTGCCGACGCCGCAGCGGTAGAGCAGGCGCCGCCAGACCTTCGTCGTCTTCGCGACGTTTCGCCAGCGCCGCAACACCAAGCGCTGGTAGAAGCCCACGGCGACGAGGTGCGACTCCCGCGCGCGCGCCTCGGCGCGCCGCGCCTGGCGCGCCCGCACGGCGCGGCACTCCGAGAGCCAGGCGCCGACGCCGTACGCGCGCCGGTGTTCTCCGGCTTTCGCGGTGGGCTGGCGGAACCGCGGGCCGCGCGCCTCGCCGAACGTCGGCGCGGCGACTTTGCGCGACTCGAGCTTGACGAGCCGCTCGCGCGCGTCGTGCCGCTGCCAGTACTCGGCCTTGGCGGAATATTCGTCGTCGAAGACGGAGCGCTCGCGATGGGGCGGTCTCGCCGCGCGCAGCAGCCGCGGAGCTGCGACCGCGGACGACGACGCGGAGGACTCCGCCTCCGACGCGCTCGAGTCCTCCTCGGCGAAGGCCACGCGCCGCCGCGCCAGCGTGTCCAGCGTCTCGGCCGTCATGGACTCCAGCGTCGCTGGGGGCTGCTGCTCGTCGTCGTCTTGCGTTTCATCCATCGTGCGAACCCGTCGACGGCACTTTGGGCTGGTTGAAGAGAGAGAGAGAGAGAGAGAGAAGAGAGAGAGAAGGTGGGCGCCGACTCGCTGCGCGCGCACAAATTATCCAGCCGGCGCGCGTGGCGCCGGCGCTGCCGATGCCGCACCCAAGCCGGCGGGCCCGGCGAGGACAACACGGGCACTTGGAACGCGGCCGAGAAAGCGACGTTTTGGGCGAATTACGAACGTCTCAAGGATGACGACCGTCGCAACCCAAAGCTCAGCGAGCTCATTGGCACGCGCTCCGTACGACAAGTCAGAAACTTCATCGCCGCACACGTGCCGGACGCGCCGAAGCTGGACACGGGCACTATCCTGACGCAGGCCCAGACGGAGACGCTTTTCGAGGAATTGTACCGCGCCGGTGTGACGTTCCCGGGCGGGCGGGCGAAGTTGCCGAACCGATGCAACTTCTGGCGCCCCATCGCCGCCGCCGTGGGCATGGACCAGGGCGTCTTGCGGAACCAGTGCAGCAACTACAATTACGACAAGGTCTGGGTGGGCGCGTTCGTGGACATCCTGAAGAAGGGCCTCGGGCCTCAGGACCACCGCGCCGCGGTGCGCGCGCTCAACGCGGAGCACCGCGAGGCGCACGAGGAGGTCGAGGAGGAGCGGGCCCGCGCGCGCGAGGAGGAGCGCGAGGCCAAGGCGGAGCGGGCCCGCGCGCGCGAGGAGGCCAAGGCCGAGCGCGAGGCGGAGAAGGAGGCGAAGGACCGCGCGCGCGAGGAGGCCAAGGCCGAGCGCGAGGCGGCGGACCAGGCGGAGAAGGACCGCGTCGCCGCCCAGGTCATCCTCGGCGCGATGGCCGTCTCCGGCCGCAGCGCGGCGTCGATCTTCGGCGAGGTCGACGAGGGCTTCGCGAAGTTGGTCGACATCTGCGACGGCATCCTCCGCACGCCGCGGACGCTCTTCTACATCTACCTCACGGCCGTCGCCGAGGGCGAGGACGCCGACGTCGCGGCCTTCGAGGAGGCCAAGTCGGCCGCGCGACGCTCCACGTTCCTGCTCCCGGGCGTCAAGTTCCTCGAGGGCAACGTGCGGGCGATCAAAGTCGCCGACGTGGCCTGGATCGCGCGGCGGCTCGAGGCCATGGGCCACGGGCACTACGCCGCCCTGTGCCGCAACCGCATCCTGTGGAAGCGCCGCAGCTGCGGCACCGTCGCGCGGACCGGCTGCCGCTACGCCGTCTGCGTCGCGTGGACGCAGCGGCGCGTCGGCGAGCCGCGGCCCGCCGGGTCCTACTCGGACTGCCTCGCGGGCATCCCGCCCTTGTCGGCGGCCGTGAAGCGGCAGCTCGAGGCGGAGACCATCCCGCGCCTCCCCTCGGTCCAGGGCCCCTCGGACATCACCATCGTCCTGCGCAAGACGCACGAGCGCGGGACCTTGTGCCCCTACTCGGCGAGCCACTACGAGATCAAGACGCTCGGCCGCGTCGTCTTCTTCATCTGGTGGTACGTCACCCGCGGCGGCGACGCGACGAACCACAACACGCAGCCGGAGGCCTTCGCGACGGGCGCCGCCGCGCGCGCGGCCGCGCGCGACTACGCCGAGGGGAAGAAGAACCAGAAGGAGGACGCCGACAAGAACGCGCAGTACCGCTGGAAGGAGCTTTCCCCCCGCGGCGGCGGCGCGAAGGCGCCCGCGCGCAAGCCGAAGCCCGCGCCGAAGACGCGCGCGCCGAAGAAGCGCCGCGCGCCCCAGCCCGCGCCGCGGGCGGCGGCGAAGAAGCGGAGGTGGGGCCCGGACGAGTACCCGCTCGCGGGCATGTAATCGCTCTGCGGTAGCTTTAGTGCGCGTAGGTGACGACCTTAACTTCGACCTTAGCTTCATGATGCACTGGATCACATCTGAGCCCTCGCACGACGCCTCGCGAGCTCGGCCGGCGCCGCCGCGCGAAAGGAGTTGCGTTTCATCCATCGTGCGAACTGTCGCGTCGACGGCACCTCGGGCATTTGAAGCGGTGCGGCGAGTGCTTGTAGTTGCCTCGGCCGCGCGACGGGTCGAAACGAGATGGGGGACGCCCCCGATTCGCCACCGCGCGTCGCCCGCGTCCGCGACTCACGCGCGACGAACGCCGCGTCGATGACGACGAAACACGCGAACCAACAAATCCGAACACTTCATGAATGTCGACAAACCTCTATCCAATTGCTGTCCGAGACCGCCGTCGCTCGCGCGATCACCCACCTTCCGAGCGCCTTCCTCGAATCGCGCATCGACGCAGGCGCGCCGACGCGCCGTCGAGGCGAAAGACGCCCGCGTCGCCGCCGCGCGCGATCCGCGTCCGAAACGCCCGCGCCCCGACGAGTCCGTGACGAAAAGAATTGTGAACCTTTCTCTCCGATACAATTGATGATGTGGACAACCACTCTCTGACACCCGAGACCGTCCCCCGCGACGCGAGAGATCCTCGCCGGGCCCGCGGCGGCTCCCCGACGCGCCCCTATCGCGCAGGCGCCGGTCGCCGAAGAAGGCCGCGGCCGCGCGCGACGCCGAGTACGCGGCGCTCTGGACCGAGGCGAAGCGCGAGGGCGGACTTACCGCCAACCTCGCCGCATGGTTCGGCGGCGAAGCCAACGAGCGGCGCCGCGCCGCGAAGGACGCGGAGACGCCCGCCGACGCGCGGCGCGAGGCCCTGGAGGCGCGCAAGTGCGCGGCTGTGTGGAAATCAACCACTGGTTTGGGGGGTCCCCACCAAACTTCAGAACTCTCTATCTCAATCAAATCGAAGTCGATTCGGCTGATTTTTGGACGAATCGATTGCTCTCGTCGAGTTATCGAAGCACAGCGAAAGAGTCTGGTCCAAATCGTTCGATTACGCGCACATTGAAGTCGGGTTGAAGGTTTGGAATCCACACAGGTGCGCGGACAAGCTCGCGGCCCTCGCCGTCGAGGCGCGAGACGCCGACGCCGCCATCGTGCACAAGTTCGCGGCCAAGGCGGGGCGCGACGCGGACGCGGCGGAGGTCTTCGCGGAGCTCCCGCCCGCGGCGGCGGCGGAGGCGGAGGAGGCCGCGCCGGCCGCGGCGGACCCGCTCTCGCGCGCGGCGCAGTACCTCGAGACGACGCTCCAGGCGCTCGTCGAGCCGGCGCCCGCGCCGACGGCCGCGGCGACGCTCGCGGCCATCGCGGACGCGTCGGACGAGCCCGCGGTCGTCGTCGAGGAGGCGGCCGGCGAGCTCGTCGCCATCGAGGGCGGGGACCAGGACCTCGACGACTTCGACAGCGACG